TTTTTTTAGCTCACTTTGCTGCTGAAGATGGACGACCAGATGAATCGGCAGCTGACGGCCGATATCAACGATAACGATACACCAGAAGCACTAGCAAACGAACTAGTCGACTATGGTTTTATAAATAAGGTATAGAATAAATCGAGATCAGGGCATAGGGTTTCAATGATGCTAAATTTAGGACGACCGCGAAGAAATTGTCAATCTGATTGCTCACGCGCTGTTAAAGTACAAGTTAAAGCGTCAAGGTTTATCCTGTCTCGGTTCCGAGTCATCATCACTTAATGACATCGGCAATGTAAACTCACAATCCTCCCTTCCATCGATGCCTGCATGTTGAGCCTTCTTGCCAACACTTGTGTTCGCCGTTACCCACCCCTGTACGAGCTTTTGTTTTGAGCTAGGACGGTCTCCATCGTCATCTGCAGAAATGGTGACATCGACATTTTATGAGACCCTGCTTGGTGCGCAGTTTAGTTCGGTTTGAAATGGAAGCAGCCAAACAGGAGCAAGGCTCTACTAACTTCCTATGTCGTTTTTCCCTCGGTCGGCGATTTGTTTGCGGAAAATTGCATGGACGAAAAGCAAGCCACACTTTAACTTATTTTTTCGGCAGCGTAACTGACTGACTTTAGGTACCGGTTCCAATTTTATGGTTGATGCGTTCGTTGTGTTATTTAGCATAATTATTAAATTTTTATTTTGACTGTTTCAATTTTCAATATTTAGGTAAATCTTTAGGAAGTTTTCAGAGTGTAGAGTCAAATGCATCTTCTTATGAATAGTGATGATTTTATTCTGCTTATTTGCTGAGACAAAAATTTCACTTATTACTATATAGTGTTTGTATAGAAAGGTATAAAAAAATTGTTTTTAATTCTTCTTCTGCTGCTCGTAATTCTTTCTTCCCGACAAATATAATTTGACGTAGCGCAGATAATGTAGTAATTGCTGTTTTTTGTGTTACGATAGATTCGATGTTCAGCTGCTGTTTAAATTAAATGGACGACAGCAAGGGTGATGTCTTTTTGGCGGTATCCAGTGCAATCACTTGTTGAAGTCTTTGGTCCAATTGCTTAAACTTTCACAAAATGACCAGGCTGGTGCTTTATTTTAACTGTTTGTAATACCTTTCCAACCGCTCAGCAATCTTCACAGTTCGCACATCTCACGGAAGCAAAATGCAGAAATGAAGGTATAGGATTGTAAATAAATTTTCGCAGCTCTAGGGGATTTAGGTAAAGTTGTTGTGAAGATGTGAACTGAAGATTTTCTACCTTGCTGTTTTGATCAACATCTATTCACAGCTAAATGAATGCACTGAAATGCAGTAAACCACTATGTCAAAGAAAAAGCTTGAACCGGGAGAATCTGCATAGGGGATGTTGTGAGTTATTGGCATTTTTATCGGCAACATTTGTATTGGTACTTCTAAACCAGCGATACTGTTTGGCGGCAACGCTGTACAGGTTCCTTTACTTATTTAGCGAGATCGTATAGATGGCCCCATTTAACATGGGCAGTTAGCGTAAGACTGTCACTGTTTGTTTATTCATTCAATAGCACGATGTTGATTGCCAAGCCGCCACGCAATAAATCAGTAATTGCCTTGAAAAACGTAATTATTAAAGTCCCTTTTTCGTATCATACTCAACGGTTTTCAGTCTGATTCCACTGTGACTGATTTTACTGTGTAGTGATAATCGAACTTTCGCGCAGCACACTTTTTCGACAGGCAAATTCTTCCATACTAATTATAATTGAAAAAGGTGTTGATACCATTTTATTGCTATTTACTACTAGTTTCCAATTTACTACTTGTGATTTGCTTACTTCTACTGATTTTTATTTTATCGGTGTTTTTGTTCACTTTCAGTTTTCCAGTTTTCCTACGTTTTTTTTTCAACAGGCATTTGTTTTGTTCATAAACAATTATAGCGATTGTTTTGTTGTCACTACGAGGAACGCACAATTTGTCTTCAGATCTTTTCGATATACTGATGAATATCCGTCTTGTTTTTTCCGTAGCATCACACTGCTTGATCGCTAACTGTTCTACTTCTTTCGCTTGCGAAGGAAATGTTTTGTAGAGTATCGCTCTCCACTGTACTTCGCCTACTTCCGGTCATAAACGTTTAAAACCAATGAATGAGAAGTTTGCTGCGAGACTTCCAATTATTAACTTTAGTTTACTTGTGATGCGTTTAACAGTTTTGTATTTGTACGTTATTGCCGTTAATCGCTATTATTAGTTACCATTTTATTATACTCTGCATATTTCGTAGTACGTGGAGATTATCAAGTATCGCATTTCTGTATTTGTTTGCTTTTCATGGCGCACCTTGAATCTTTGGCAGCGAATAAAAAATGGCGGTAAGAGCTTTTTACTGCAACAAACATAGGGAACATGACTTGCTGCAGTGTGTGTTTATAAGTAAACGTTTCCTTCTTCATGATTGATTTGTCTCAGTAATTTTTGGCCATGTTTAATTTTGCAAATAAGTTTCGAAAGGACAATAACGACGAACACACTGGCAACGAGGTACGGATTACAGACACGTAACGCTGGTTCTGACTCAGTGGCATAAACCTAGGATATGTTCGCGGATTCAAATACCTCAGCGTAGTGGTCGCTTGCGATGCGACGTCTTAAACTCAAATTAAGATTCGAATAGCGACAGCATTGGCGACGCTTTCGACGTTAGATCACATGTGGAAGGGAAAAAATAGCTGAATTATAAACGATATCTGCTTGCTAAGGGTGTTTGTGGAATCGATCTGCTTGTTTGGCTATGAAACATGGAAGCTGGTAGCAGCAGCAGAGAAAAACGGTTAAGTCCTTCGTACGTTGAAATGAGAAATTTTAACGCAGACTGCTGGTTGTTGCAGTTGTCAGCGCTCATTCTTGCCGTCGCAGCATTGAATCAGTGTAATTGGACAGTGGTCAGCGCATCAACTTGTAATTCATTGACTGATATCATATCAGTGAGTAGCTGAGTGAAGTACGATGTCGTTTTTACAGTCCCATTATGACTATGCGATTCGTTACGTCAGCGCGTAGTCTGCGATTGCAAGTTTAAATTATGTCATTATTCAATTTGTCATTGATGCAGTTGGTCATCTGTATCAATTATTTCACCTCGTCCTTCATATTGCCTATCAGTGGAAAGCTCTATACGAGTACAATGCGATCTCGTTGTCGAACTCAGAATGTAGATGATTTTCAGTTTATTTCATAACTTCATTATGGTGACTATGCGAGGTTACTAAGTCAGCGCTCAGTCATTTGGTTACTCAGTTTGCATTCAGCTTAAACTCAGCAGCAATGCTGTAGCTTTGAAACTCATTGCGCTACTTTAAGTTCCTTCATCAAGTACAGCTGATGATTCCAATTGTGTTGCCATTTCATCATTGAATAATGCTCAGTCCCTGCAAACGACTTATGATACTACTTAATGCATTCGGAGACAAAGCAAAGCAATTTTATAATAGATTAATGATTTCGGATTTTAACGGGTAAAACGTAGTGTAAAGAACTCCATATATCTTCAATTCTTTGCATTGTAAAGCATGGAAATCTTGATAGTACTGCAGTATTGCATCGCACCCTTACTTCTAGTACCCTAGGGTAAGCAGGCTACTCTACATAGTATTTAAGCGCCTGCAGTGTATAGGACGCTAGACAGTCTCTTAATTGGGTTGAACAAAGGAATGTTCAAACCCAAATGCCACTACCTGTCGGCAAAGACACAGAAAGAAAACAACCCGATATTCTGAGATACACAACATGAGTGGAACTTTCGATGCCGCCGTCCGTATGTTATGTTAAAATTAATGTTAGCGGATTTCAATGGCGAAAACGAAGAAAGAAAGCTTCATTTCTTTACACCGATATTGCGGTAATATAATGGAAATCTTACACCTGGTAGTACCGCAGTATTGCGTCACACTGACGTAGATGACCACTGTCCAGTTGTACAGATTGAATGCGGCGACTGAAGGACCGGCGGTCTGCGACAACAATCAGCAGTCTGCGCCGAAATGTCATGGGCCATTCACCTAGAGCAAACTCCATGCACTACACGTACGACAAAGAACTAATTCAAAAGAAGGTTGAATGTAATCCTTGACAAGCAGGAACCATCGACAAAAACTACTTGAAGCGTGTCGTGATTCAAAGCCTCAGCACAATTATCGTCCAAGGAATAAAGCGCAGAATATCCAAAGAAGTGCAGGATTAACTTGTGGACATGATAAAGCGAAATTTTCATATCACTATCCTCTAAAAAGCACCGGAAGTTTTCTTCTCAGAAGCTACGTTTATGTACTGACGGCAATCGGCGATGGGAATCAGTTATGCTGTTTCTGTTTAAACTCTAACATCTGTCGTCGATCCTTTAATAAGCAAAATCAAGCAGGGAAATCAGACTGGTAATGAATCGCTACAGTAAATTTAGATCGACCATAATCCACAACGAATCGCGCCGGTCCCAAGAAACCAACCATTTCTGGCGGAGTCGAATCTCCTCACACCAATTTCAGTTTTTTGGCTCCTGATACGCTCTTCCTACCGTCATTGTAGGGGATAAAGTGGGCTATTCCACCCATCCCCATGGACACCGTCGATGATCATCTCCGAGAGGCGAGCTGCGTTCCGTCCACAATTTCTCCCTTCTGCTTTCGACGATAACGTCCTTCATTCCAGTTCACTGCTTCACCATCGCGTTGCAAAATTACTCATCACTCCAGTCCTGATGATGCTACGGTCTATGCAGTGAAATGCGTTGGCAATAAACTGTTCACGATCTGATGCATTTGGCGCCCCGAACCATTAATCGTTTAAACAACTGTGTATATGACTATTGGCCCAGAATCAGAAACCTGAAGAATTACTCATTCACATTAGCTGCTTCAGTGTTAGCTTTTATAAATCGTAAGTGCACCCCCAATTTTACCTTATCAGTTAATCAGAGGACCATAAGGATTCGCACAGTAAAAAGTTGTGTAATATGAAGTACCACTGTTTGCATAGTTCTGACGAATGACAGCACCATCATGGCAAGGAAACACCGTTACAGATATAAGCAGATCCTCATACCATCCACATATAAGGCAAAGGACGGAAGTCTTCGCCAAAAGCGATAGAGAAATTCTTGCGCATGAATACCGCTTTTAACGGCAACAATTCGTTTTGTCAAATTTTTGAATTAATTTAAAAAATTTGGTCAACCGAAAAATAAGCCATTTGCACAATTAAGTAAACACTAATATCGTTGATAACAGTGCAAATAGGTCAATTAAAACAACGGTAATTCATCAATGGAATGCGAAAATTTAAAATCAGGCGGAAACAGCTCCGCGGCACGGGGGTACATTAATTTGTACGATTGTCGAATAGTGACTTCCGCAACGCCTGCTACGACACCAATTTCTAGAAAGAATGAAATCGCTTAATGATTTAAAAGAAAGTATAAGCTATTAAAAATTGGATTTTTATTAAACACTTCAAAAACACTTTTGTTTTGAATTTAAAATACCATTGTTGGTAGATACGCAAGTTCCGTTAACCGTTGATGGCCAATAAGCGGAATTATTAAGGAGTTGGGCTGAAGACTACAGCGAAATCTTATGTAATATCTGTAGCTTGCTCATCATGGTACCGACATGCTCAAATATCATACCGACCCAGTCGTCGCACAGACACCATGGACAGAGTAGGAAGGTGGGGAACAGGTAGAATGCGAAAAATTGGCGATAAGAATCTGTTTCTCGCTCTCTGGCAGCTGGGGGCGTTGCAGCGGAGCCAAAACCAACTATGACAAGGAGACGACGAAAAAATCAGTCAACAACGGAGCCGATACCCATTCTAAAGCGATGAGGCAGACAGTGCAATACCGTTACAGCAGGTTAGGTATGGTTTAATGTGAACTGATACTGACAGTCGGAAATAAGAGCTAAGAGGCAAGGAACACGAGCAAGTCAACGAGACCGCGAAGTGCTGACTGAACATATTTCGACTCTTGCCAATGAACGCCAGGGCTCAGGAAATCTGAAGATTTTCTACTCAGATGTCGACGTGAAGATAGGTGCTCAGACCGTTGTTAGGTAGAACCTAACACGGCTCACAGAATCAATAAATGGAAACCTGTCACCGGAAGACTGACATTCATCAGGCCGAAGTTACAATAGACTAAACGTTTCACATTGTTATAGATCTATGGGCCCAATTTGGAGCAGAATACAAGTTTTCCTGGAGGAAATAGGTGCTCTGTACAAAGTGCCGACTGCGTAATCTATTATTAAAATGGGCCATCAAAATGCGCATGTTGAAACACAACGAAAAAGGCGAACGGCTGGTTGGAAAGAAGGACTCCAACGACCTCAACAATAACGGGATGAACTTGTTCCGGTTTAGTGGGAACAACTGACTGCCTGTTATGAACACTCTCTTCTAATACTGAAGCGTGCATCAGCATACCTGGTAGAGCGAAGCTTGTGAACAGAAGTCGATGTGCGATTAATCGTATCATCTGACCTATGATGCTCTATAAAGGATGTTCGCGTTAAAAGAGGCGCAGAGCTGTCAACCGATCACCACCTTCCTGTTGAGGCTACGCTGAGAGAAATGGAGAACCATGTGAAGATCTGATGACAGATACAACCAGAGAATCAAGTGCGAAACATTGTCTTCGGTGGACAGGAAAGCGAAACTTGGAAACAATATCGCACTACAGTCTGAACAGTTCCAACTGATGACGTCTGATTCAGAGAAAAAGAGCAAGCTATCTAATTGCAGCCTACTCGTCTCTGTCGCTGAATGCTGCAGTTCTAAACGGATTGACAAGCCCCCTAAAGGTCAGACTACCTGAAGGATAGGATAGGTTAAACTGATAGTCAGCGAGAAGGCTGCATTCGAGGTTGGCTTGAAACAAAGAACCTTCAACTCGAACGCAGTACGAAACAGGCAAGGCGAAAAAAAAGGAATGACCAAAACAAAAAAAAATCCTGGGAAAAGTTCGGCAAGATGCTGCAGTCGAATTTCCAGACGGGAAACAAGGCATTCTGGCAGACCACTGCCTCCGAAGTGAAAAAGGGCAGGCAAAAGTTTTGAAGGACGTCTCGACACCCTCTTACCGACGATGAAGACATTCTTAGGTGATGAAGAGAGTATTTTGAGGAATTGCTTAACACCGAGCAACCGCAGGAAGACTCGCCTGAACAGCACCAGGGAAATTTTGTTTTCGTCACAAAAGCTGCAAAAAGTTTGAAAAATGGCGGGGCTGCTGGAATCGATAAAATCCACGCTGAAATGTTTACAACTTTATGTGAACATGGCATGTTGTGGCTAACACGTGTCTGAGACTGGAATGGCTACGTATAAAACACCAGTGGGCTGGTGAATTTGGGCTCTAGTGTCTCTGTCTCTGTGCAGGAAAGGAACCAAATGGAAGTACTCAAATTATGAGGGAATTGCCTTATTCAGCCTCCTAGGCAAAGTCTAAGCAAAGGTAATAGAAAGGTGTTGTAGCATATCTGGCACTAGGATCAAAGAATAACGGTGTAGCTTCAGGTCAGGTTGGCCCCTCTGATCAGATCTTCGCCTTACCTAATTCTGATGAAAAATAATGGGAGTTGGCTCATCAGTCTACATGCGCTTTACTGACCAGGACAAAGTATATGACTGAATCCCGCGCAGTGATCTACGGATATGCATGCCAGAGCGTTGGATCAACGGCCAGTTGTTAAGAGCCCACCCAGTCTATAAATGTGGGCACATTGCGTCAAGTCAAGATGCGCCAGCGTTGAACTGGATGCTGCCAAGGCTGTGTTCTGTTCAGTCTGCTGTTTGTCTTGTACATGGACAGAATACTCAGGCGCAGACGGAATGATGAGTGCATCAGTGTAGGAGATGTAAAAACAAGAAATATGCTATTTTCAAACGTTTCTCTGGCATCGTCTGAAACTGATTTCAAGCGCATTTTGGAAAGGTTCACAGGCGAGTACTATGCCGTTAGAATGCGTGTCAATGTGGCAAAAGCGAAAAGCCTAATTCTTCATCGTTCTCCTTTCCGTTGTGCTTCTGCAGATAACAGGAGAAGCAGTTGAACATGCATAGAAGTTCAAATACCTCGTAGTCATGTTTACTGGTGATGGAAAATGGAAGAGATCTCTGACGAATCTGAAACCCAGCGATGTACTACTGAACCGTATGACAAAGTGTAGCTAAGTCTGAAGATTAACTTATCTACATAGGAGTCAATCGTCATCCAGATGCTCACCTTCGATCGTGAGTGGTAGGCCATGACTGAAAAACGTTGAAGCTGGGAATAAGCGGCTGAAATTGGTTTTTTAGACGGATCAATGGGCTCATGTGCCTGTACATGGTAGAGAGAAGAGACATCTGGAAGAACCTTTGTGTTTAGCCAATGCTTCTTCAGATTGAGAAGCCACAGTTGCGATGGCCTCAGCACGTCTGACGAATGCTTTCAAAAAGGAAAGCGAAGCAACTACTATTTGTCCAGCCGACCCGCTGAAGACCTCAGGGGCATTCAAGAATAATCCAGGGCAAGTCTATCGAAGGGCTCTGCTCGAGCCTTAATTTATCGTCCGCCGAAGTTCAAACGATGGCACAGAATCAAAAACGTTGGAGACAATATCTGACGCATCTATCTTCGTGACCTTAAACGATAATCGAATATCGAAACTGAATGACTGAGTGACTTGAAACCTACGATCGTTTAGTAACGGATATCATAGGCATCAATGAAGGGGATATTGTTTCAGTGATTTACTCAAGAACTTTTGAAAACCGTGCCAAGAGATTAATAAGTTGCTCATCTTGCCGTTCTGGACAAATAAGGAGATATTCTGAAACGGCAGAGTAGTTTGACATATCTCACAGCTAAGAAAATCAGCACAAGATGAAACCTGCAAAAGAAGATAAGCTAGCAGTAAAACTGGAAATGTCAAAATTTGATGTCAAACATGAGTATCACAGTAGCATCACAGCAGTACATTTGTAACAGTTTAAAGGAAGGCGATTATTGGGCGAGCTTATCGAAGAAACGAACAAGAGATGGGAAATGAAAAGAGAACCTAGCAGAATCAGTTAAAAAGTGGGATGGCGATGCCCAACAGTTAAATATCCCTTACGAATTTACTTTCGGTGAGAAGCTACGAAGAAAACTTTTAAAACTGGAGAAAGTTCAGGTCTGAACTCATGTTTTACAGCCAGCTTACGCATATAAACAACATCAAAGCGCAGCAACAAAATATGTCCGAATATGTACTATCGTTTGCGAATGCGGAGCTACGTATATTGGAGAAAAAGATAACATGATCAGAGACAAAATAACACCACTCGTACTTCAGAAAACAAACCGAAGCCGATCTAAGGGAAGGTGGACAATGTCGTAAACGATGTGGATGAAAACAGACGAAGGGCCTTACGGAGATTCAAAGTGAATGCAATAGAAAATATGCACTGGTAGACCACGGACTGTGTAAAAGATGGTCCTATCATTGACCGGAAGAAAATGCGTGCAAACAACTACAAGAAAGCGTTTAATTAGAGAAGAGTCATCGATACATGAATATTCTTAACAGGAAGAGAGAAGACACTAATCTGGAAAAAGGCAAATAAGTAGCTGATGAGAAAGACAACGCCTGAATTGCTTCTAAGTTCGCCAGTTTATTCTCATGAACGTTTAACTGATCGCACTTAAAAATTACGATGACTTGACAGTATGCAAGGAAGCTATTTTGTCCTTTATAAGGTCCTCTAACGATAAACCTAGCTCGATCTGAAACATCAGGATTATGTCAAATAAACATTATGGAGGATAACCCTTTTGAAGATTTTAGCGATGATCAATATTTATGCAGATATTTCATTCATATTTCATTTATAACATTGCTTAGATCAAGTTAACTACGCACGAGTATAATTTTATTATTTGCCCTTTTTATGTTTCATGTGTGTTTTGATGTACTTACAAACTGTTGCATTTAATGTACTTATATTTACGCAAGAGTTAGCATATACGAATAAAACTAAGTTTTCTGTATCAGCCTTCTTTGGTGGGAGGGGGGGAATTACAGAAACAGAAAAAATTCTTATTCATACAAGATATGAATAAATACCTCTGGCGCATCTCTTCTCATTCGACGCTTGACTAGCCATGTATATTGCTGCAGCAGCTATTGAAATGGGACTTCGTCTAAAAAGGACGTATTGCGTAAAGTGTAACTCCATAAGTAAAACCACATAGCACGAGATCAGAATTAAACATGAAAAACAACGAAAGATAAATAATCAGACTTCATTATAAGAGACCATGAGAGGTATTCAATGCCTCGCGTAACAACCACCGCTGCCAAGCAAAGCGAACAAATTTGGTAAAAATGTTGAGTTACATAATTCGGTTGATTCTGATTCAACGATAATTTAAATTATGGTTGACGAATGAAGGTTCTCTGATTTTAGTTTCTTTTGGCATAAGTGATACCTGCCATGTGAAAATCAAATTCCATCATTTCGCAGCTTACCCCGAAACAAGGTCCATGTCCACCGCCTTACGAGCGATGTGCGAAGCTGCCGTTTGAACACGTTGTGTCAGATTCAGATTTCCACAGAAACGTGACTAACGAAACCAGTAATTAGAACAGAGTAAGAAAATTTTACCAACGACATGTTACCATGAAATCAGTGGTAGTGATCAACTCTAGGTTCGTTTCGAGCGCTCTCAAAATGAGTTTGAAACATCGACCGATTTCCTTTTTGCTAACGCGCGACACGGCACAAATTTCTGAAAGCGAGATAAATGAGACGTTGTGCCGGGAGTCTACAGACGACGTCCGTCGACGAA